AACATCTTTGCCTTTTGCCAAAACCAGTAATGCTAGTTCCAACTACCGTGTACTATCGGGTCTTATTTTTTTTGACCCCCAAAATAAATGCTTGGCCTTATTTTTGGGGAGGTCTTATTGTTTTTGAGGTGCAGGAGGCAGTGAGCGTGGTTACCTCATGGCTGCTGCTGCATTGCAATATTTTTGGGGAAGGCTTATTTTAGTGCATGCGCTCAAAGGCCCGATTGGGCCTATTATCGAGGGAGGGATTATTTTCAGGAAAACAGGGTATGTCTTTATTGGACAGTTTTCAAATATTTCCTACTTGTTTGAGGAAGGGCAGCTTGATGTGCAAGGAGGAGGAAGTGCCTGTCCTGCAGAATAGCAGATTGTTTTGGGAAATCGACTCTCAAGTTGTTTATATTTGATAGTGTCTATAAGAAACCCAGTCAACTGCTAGACTTGTTCTGTTATCATTTCTGTTACTGTGAACTGCTTCAAGTCCCGGGTACAGTAGACAAATGTTGGGATGCATGTACAAATAAATACCATACTTTTTGGAGTATGACACACTCCCCCCCCCCCAAAAAAAGAGGGTGGAAATGTTATACACCGAATACAGCCATTTTCGGCTTCTGGAAACCCCGCCCTGCGCATCCTGATTTCACCAAAAACAGGTTTGTTTTCACAAAAATGGGATGTGCAGAGGGCTTGGGAAGCCTGCAGAGTTCTCCTAGGGGTTGGGGGGGGGGGCAGAAACATGATGCATGAGGGGTTTGGGAGGCAAAAAAACAAGCCTGTCTTTCACAAAAACAGTGTTTTTGCCCTCCCCAGCCCTCAGGAGCACTCTGCAGGCCTCTCAAACCCTCTATGCCACCCCATTTTTCTGAAAAACAGGACACTTTTTGGCCTCCCAAACCCCCCAGGAGTGCCATTTTTGCCCTCTCCAGCCCCCAGGAGCACTCTGCAGGGCTCCCAAACCCTCTGTGTCCCGTTTTTCACAAAAACGGAGCATACAAAGGGTTCGGGAGGCCTGCAGAATGCTCCTAGGGGCCAGGGAGGGAGGGCAAACACTTTTTTTTCTTTTTTACCTCTTCGAAATCTTGATGCATCTTCTACTCCAGTGTGTCTTACAGTCCGAAAAATACGGTAAATAAATGAGAGATTGAATCTGAACACACGTTTCATTTGTATGTTACAGAAATTGAAAACCCTGCTGAAAGAGTACACCAGATCCAGCAAATTGTTATCACCTTGCCACGAGCTGTCATCATTGTAATGAGATACCTCTTCGCTTTCCTTAACCAGTGAGCATTTCCTTTAACTATTTACTTTGAATGAAGCTGTAGTAGCCTTCCCTGGTCAATACTTTCCTCTTTCAGTGTTCTCTTTTTCCTCAAACCCAGCACTGGGCAAAAGGGAGAGGTGCCCCTTGACCATCATTACTTGTAATTGTTGCCTTTTGACCAGCTGGAGGAAATGCCTATAGAGAACTATAGCTGCCCTGAGTCTCTCGGGAATAGGGCGGCATACAAATTGAATAAACTACAACTAAATTACTACAACTATGTGTGTAGTACTTGAAGCTTGGTGTCATAGCTGTGGGTTACTTGTATTTGCAGCTTGTCGCAATACAGTGATGAGAACATGATGGATCCCTACAATCTAGCCATCTGCTTCGGGCCAACTTTGATGCATATTCCAGATGGGCAGGATCCAGTGTCCTGCCAGGCTCATGTCAATGAGGTCATCAAAACCATCATAATCAATCACGAGGCCATCTTCCCTACCCTCAGGGAACTGGAAGGACCTGTTTATGAAAAATGCATGACTGGTGGGGAAGAGTACTGGTAAGAAACCTAGGAATGAAATATATGCCTTTAGCATCTTAAGAAGGTTAGGAATTTCTTCTTTTTAAAGTATGGGATGCTTATTTCAGATGTTCTTAATTTAAATAGTAAGATGATACAGAGCTATTTCTCTGTCCAAACTGAAATGGATTGTTGTGCATGTATGAACTGTAAGGAATAATTATTTTTATTTCTAAATCTCTTGAGTTGCCCAGGAAGATTTCAAATAATGATGTGCTAATGGAGTGTAGGAACCCAATGGAAGTTAGAGCCTAATTCATTTTCAAGTCTTTTGAGAACATAAAAGGAGATTGCTTGGAACCAGTTTCACTCAGTCCAACCTTCTTCTTTCCATAGGGGAAACCCAAATTCTTTTTTAATAGCCCATAATCAGGGCATGGATTGGATCTATTACTCCCTACTGCCCTTGTTCTCAATCAATTGATATTAGTTTATTTTTTCTGAATGTGGAGTTCTGTCTTATTTTTTTGAAGAAGCTACCTGCCTCTTGCCACCTTTTTTTGTTTCACTGATCGTGCATTTGTAGTACTTGTAGTATTGATTCCCGCATGAGGAAATACTGTGATCCAAATATATAAATTCATCTATTAAGGGTTGTAATCTTTAGCACACATTTTGATGCCATTAGTAAGATTTGTTTAGATACAAGTGACAAGACCTTTCAGGTAGAAACCTCATTTTCTCCTTTTGTCCACACTCTGGTGAGGCTTAGGACACCACAGTTGGGTTGCTGGGGACAATAGGTCATCCATATGTTTCCTAATTCTTCTTTAGACAGAATAAATTCTCTTTTCATCTTATATCCATTAAGTGGAGTCATCTTTTCCACCAACTTTACATTATTTTGAATAAAAGTTACTATTTAAAGATTGTTTCCTGGCTATATGGCACTTTGTCCTTAGGTGAAATCAGGTCTTTCTTTAGTCTCTCTTGATTATAGCTGCCACAAATCTTACTGGTTGCAGTTCATGGGAGTTGAAGTCCAAAACGTATAGAATGCACCAGGTTGCCAAGGCATGGGTTAGATTTTAATTATTGGGTTCATCATGAAGTCATTGCTTGCATTAGAACAAACAGTGAAGGTTCTTAAAAGCATTTATTTTACAGTTCACTCTTGTTTAACAGTTCATTGTCTTGATGGGCTTAGCAATTACACTAAACTAATAATTATTCCCAAGCTAACAATTAAATCCTATACATGTCTACTCAGAAAAAAGCCCAGTTGAATTCAGTGGGACTTGGTCCCAGGTAAGTCTAGATGAATGACACAATCTTGAGAGGAAAAAAACTGAAAAAGAACTGAAAATATTTTAAACCACAATGAAGCTAAGACCAACACCCCTCCCTAGCCTAAAGCCGATTTTTTCCTTATTATGACATGGTGGCTCAGTGATTAAGATACTGGGCTTGTTGGCTGGAAACCGGCAGCTTAGGTTCAAGACCAAGGCTCCATGCAACGGGGTGATTTCCTGTCCTTCTCCCAGTTCCTGCCAAACTAACAGTTTGAAAGCATACAAATGCAAATAGATCAAAAGGTACCACATGGTGGGAAAGTAACAATGCTGTATGACATAATGGCCACATGACTGTGGAAATTTCTTCTGACACCACTGATTCAATAGCATTGAAACAGAGATGAGCACTTCCCCCTATAATCGGCAAAGACTAGTAGAGTAAAAATCAGCAGGGACTCCTTTGCCTTCACCTTTTATTACTTATTTTACTTCCATACACAACTCTGTATAACTGTAGAGAAATCTCTGAAACTCAATAAAACATCCTGAAAGGAGGAAATGGTAAACCACATTCATATTCTAGTTTATGTAGGTTTTCACGGCTCAAGTCAATCAAGCAGTGATCAGCCTTTTGGCTGAATCGCTGTACTCTAGTTTTTTGGAATCCTAATTAATTGGGACACTAGAAAACTAAACCATGGCCAGTCATTCTGAAAGATCCTCACCATTTACAGGTTGTAGATAATAAAATTTGTGTAAATGTGTCCACGAAGGCATAAGGAGTTAATCATGAGTTGAAGGAAATTTTACATGTAGCTGCCAACTGTTTCAGATTCAATAGGTTTCCAGCAGTTTTTCATGTAATCATCTACATCAGGGGTGTCAAACTCAAGGGCCGTGGCCAGATCCAGCCCACGGGGTGCTTAGATCTAGCCTGCTGGGCCACCCTGGAAACAGTGAAGGACTGGCCCGCGGTGCCTCTGCCAGTGAAAACAGAGCTTGAGAGAGCTGCATGTGACCCTTCTGAGCTCCATTTTCACTGGCAAAGGGTTGCAAGAGGCCGTCGCAGCTGAAAATGGAGCTCAGGAGCCTGTTTTCATTGGCAGGTGCGCCCAATACACGTGACGTTGAGCTGGCCATGCCCACCTTGGCCACGCCCATGCCACCCCCTAAGGTTAAACATAACCCTGATGTGGCTCTCAGTGAAATTAAGTTTGACACCCCTGATCTACATGGTCTTTGCCCAACTATATGGGGCAACTATCTGGGACACTTTGCTCCAGAAAGTGACTTCCATCCTGGACTCCTCGCTTCTGGTTTCTACAGCAACGGAGAACTTAAGATGGGCTGTTCTTGAAAAGAAGGGCAACCCTGACTGGTGACAGAAGCCACTTAGGATGGTTGTAAAACTTTGTGTGAAAAAGCACAAAGCAGCCTTTTCTTAAAACAATTGTTAGCGGGAATGGGAACAAAAAACAGCAGGAGCAGATGGTGATGATAGCAATGACAGTTTATCTCATGCTGTCTAGCTCCTACTTTCCAGGCACCAGTGCATTCTTAATGGGCTTTTGTGACAGGCTAAAATCTAAGGAACAGATCAATGAATGTCTGTTTCCATTAGAACTGTTATATAAAATGGGACAAGTCCACAAAGACTGTGTTCCCTATTAGGTCAGCTTAAAATTTCTTCTCAAACACGAAACAGATGTTCCCATCCTGCTAAGGTGGAAATGTGGCTAGCAGGCAATGGCTATGTCAGTTTCTTGGCATGGGCCCATTAATCGATAACCAGTCTTCTGCTACATAATTAGTACTTCAGTTCTGGATAATGGGAGAATGTAGGATTATGCCTTCAATCCTAATGATTGTTCCTTGAACAAATATATTACACATATTGCCATGAGAAGGAAATATGTAAACAAAGAATAAACAAGTTCCACCAATATTATTTTAGACTTTGGTTGGAATTAGCTCTGATACCTTTAAAGAACTTTTTAAAATCACTGCATAAAATACAAGACAATAGAAACCAGGGTCTAGGACAACTCGAAATGGCCAACTTGCCATGGTCATTTTGCCATGACCAACATGCCATGGCTATCTCACCACTGGGATCTTGCCACAGTCATCTTGCCATCGGCCAACTCAGCGTGGGACAACTTGCCCTAGACAATTCCATGCGGGATAACTCAAAATGATAAATGCTGTCCACCACTGTTTCCTTGATATTATTTCCATTTTTCTCAATAGATAGCAGATAACATTTATTGTGTTGAGTTTTCCCGCATGGAATTATCTCTTGGCAAGATGGCCATGGTGGGTTGGCTGCGCCGAAATAACTGTGGCGAGTTATTCCATTTCATAGGAACCAGGCCCAAGTCCTACTGCAAGATGGGGGAAGCTTTTTAATTCACTTGGAGCAGAACAAGGAAACAGATTACTATCAACAACTGTTTAATGAAGGGCTCTTACCAATCACTTTGAACCAGAGTACGTTGCAACAGCCCTTTTCTTTAGGATCAAAACTCTCATTGTATAGATGCTGCCATCAGCTGCCACTACCATCAGACATCAATCAACTCTCATGCTTGTGCTTATTTCTGAGAAAGAACTGTATATATTTCCAACAAGACATTCAGCTTGCCACCATTGGGGGAAAAATTGAAAATATTTTCCCTCCATGGCAGTTAAGTCATGACAGCTTAAATAGTGGCTTAGGACTGTTTGGCATTTTCAGAACTCACCCAACTACGCCAATATTTATGTCATTTCTCAAGTGAAGCATAATGGGCAAGACGGCATTATATTTGGCTACTGGTAGTGCCATCCATCATTGTTGCTATGTTGTTACAATGAAAACTGCTTAATTGGGCTCTTCTTACTATATGGAGAAAGAAGGATAGAAGGAGCAGTAAACAGTAAAATATTGAACAACAGAAATACAATGGAAGCAGAAATGTAGTAGTAGATTTGTTGAAGGTAAAATGGTATTGCAAACTAATCCTAGCAGGAGTCATGTTCATCCAAGATATTCTTTTGAACACACACACACACAAACACACACACACACACACACACACACGATGTTCCAGTTTTGCAATTTTCAAATTGTTCAGAAAAAATTGAAGTTTCCTGCCTTTACTTGTTAGTAAGGAGCCCACATCTCTTTTCCCTTTTATCCCCACTTTAAAAACCTCAGTGCATTTATTTATTCCACTTTTGATTCCAGTGACAGCCCACACAGTGAACCTGGCACTATTGATGAAGGAGATCACGACAATGGCACAGAGCCACACACCAGCGATGATGGTGAGTGTAGAACCCAGCCATGTGTCTACAAAAAGCTACCAATGTTTACATGGTGGAATGCTAACATGCATTTAATAATTAACCAAATTTCCCTAGATTAACATATGGCTGTTTGCAGG